AACAACAACAACAACAACAACCATGTACTTAGTGTTTTATGTACTTTTCTATATGCCACTATTAATTCCATATTATATATTAATATTTATAAACAATGATTGTTATGTGGATTGTTCATGTTTATGAATCATATTATAATCATTATAAATGATTTCATATAGTGACCTCATTTATATATTATCCCACTGAAGGAATGGAGAAACTGAAGCTCAGAGAGGTGAGTTCACTTGCCCAAAGTCACTGAGCAAACAGATGGCAGAGTCAGAATTTGAACCCACCTCCATGGGTTACCAGTTTCTTAACCACTGCGCTATTCAAGTCCAAGGTGTGTCCAAGGCAGAACACACTGCATCTAGGGAGCAGGGAGGGAGTTGGGTTAGCTGTGTGACCATAACAACAACACAAACACAATTGTCATTGTTATGGTTTAGGTTTGTTGAGCCCTTGCTATGTGCCAAGCACTGGGCTAAGGGCTTTCATAATAATAGTGGCAACTGCTCATATGGATTCATCAAGTGCCGGGCCCACCTCCTAGTGCTGTGACTCCTAGGGCTGTGACAGGAGGAATTCACTGGCTCCTTACACCAGATCTCAGAGTTCAATACCATCATTATCTCCTTGAGGCCCCAGAGGGTGGAACCACCTTCAGCAGCTCACGGTGGAGCTAGGATTTGGACCAGGCAGTCTGTCTGGTTCTATAGGCTATTTGTTCTCTTCACCCTCATACTCTCTATAGTCCCTTGTAATCATCCCAACAATTCTGCGGTGTAGGGAAAGCTGTCCCCACTCTACAGATGGGGAAACTGAGGCTCAGACTTGCACTCACGTGCAGAGCCACAGCCTTGACCCTTGTCTGTCCGATCAGCACACCCACACTGACCACTGTTCTTGTCTGGCAGGATGCCAGGAGCTCCAAGCAGCCTCTGGAGGGTCTTGACCTTGCCCAGCCTGAGAGTCCCAGCCTCCCACCCCTTCCTGGGACGCTCCTTAATCTTTCCTGGGGCCGGTTTCCTTTCCGCTTGCTGATTTGTAAGAGCTCATTGTATGAATTAAATGCGGTTTTTCACCAGATCAGTTTGTTTGTTTTTCATACAAAAGTATTCAACAGGTCCGTGTTTTATTTTATAGATTCTAGATTTCCAACCATGGGTTAGATAGTCTTCTGGCCCCTGGGAGTAGCAGAGTAGCAGTGTGTGCGTGGGGGGTGGCAGCCTGCACTTCCCTCCCTCTTCCTCTCCTTCTTTTCCTGTGTGGAAGGGGGAGCGAGGGTGAGTTCTACTTGCCTGTCTGTCAGCACTCTTTATATATTAATTCTACGCTGTCCTCGGAGTTGCAAACATTTTCCCCAAGCCTTTTGTATACTGACTTGCAACGGTTATTAAGTGCCGTGCAAATGTCCATCTTGTGTTTTACAGATTCCGACGTTTCCAGAAGGGAGCTCTGGTGGCGCTGTGGTTAAAGCAATGGACTGCTCACCAAAAGGTCACCCCTTAAAGATTTACAGCCTCGGAAACTATGGGGCAGTTCTACTCTGTCCTATAGGGTCGCTATGTGTCAGAATGCACTCGATGGCCGTGGGGTCTGTGTGGGAATTCCGTGTTTGTTTCATCGATTGATGGTAGACGTCTGGTCCCTGGGGGAGGGGCACCCTCCTCGTCCCTGCCCGGTTCTTATCTCGCAGCTTCTCCCTTCCCACGGCCCGGATCTTATAAGCGGGCGGCGGAGCGGCTCCGCAGTGTCACCATGTTCCAGCTGTGCCTGCTGCTAGCCTTGGCCCTGGTGGCCGCCCCCGGCGCCCGGGCCGCCTGCCCGGTGCCCGCCGACCTCAAGAACCCGGACGGCACTCGCACGTGCGCCAAGCTCTACGACAAGAGCGACCCCTACTACGAGAACTGCTGCGGCGGCGCCGTGCTGGCGCTGGAGCCGGGCGCAGACCTGCCCTTCCTGCCCTCCGACTGGGCCAACACCGCCTCCTCGCTCGTGGTGGCGCAGCGCTGCGAGCTCACCGTGTGGTCCCGGCGCGGCAAGGCTGGCAAGACACACAAGTTCTCCTCGGGCACCTACCCGCGCCTGGAAGAGTACCGCCGAGGCATCTTCGGCGACTGGTCCAACTCCATCGCCGCGCTGTACTGCAGGTACCGTCGCGCGCCCCTGTCCGCTGATCCGCCTCCAAAGCCCCCAACCCCGCCCCCGCCACCAGTCCCCACGCCCAGCGTTCACGCCCCGGTGCTTGTCAGACCCTGGAGCTCCTGACCCAAAGTGGGAGACTTCACAAGTCCTGGAGGCTCCCGTTCCCCCACCGTGGAGTCCACACCCAAACCCCTTCCTCTCGCAGCCCATGAGCCCACAACTCCTGGATCCCCCCCCGCAGCTCTGCGATTCCCAGACTCGGCAGCTGACCCAGTCCCCCAGCTCACATTCCCAGAGCCGCCCCCTCCCCCACACACCTTCCTGAATCACCCACCCACCACCCACTCACCACTGCACTTCCCAGAGGGGGCAGACTAGCCCTGAGTCCTCAAGCCTACGTTGGGGCTGGGGAGCGCACTGAATCCCCTCACCTTGGAGCCCCCAGAGCCAAAGCCAGCTCCCACCAACGCATGCCCCTGAACCCCCAGATCCCAGAGGGAAGCCCCAGCCACAGCTCAGGGGCTTCCAGACTCAAAAGCTGACCGGGTCTCAACTTTAGGAATGTCCTTATGCTCCCACCCACCCACCTCTAGATCAGCCTTAGACTCTGAAGCCAGTCCCACAGCCCCTGCTCAGGCTTCTGGGTCCCCAAGGGCAACCCTTGACCCTTCACCCACCCCCAGCCCACCCTGAACTCACCTATCCAAGCTCACAGAACCTGGGACCCTAGAACCAGCCCTGGTGTCCTCCCATGACAGCCCCAGACTCCCACAGCAAGACCCCATCTCCAATACTTGTAGGCCCAGACTCAGCCTCCCCAGCTCCCCGGCCCACCGTGCCTTCTAGAACCCCTCAGACCCCGGTCCAGGTGCATGGCAGACCCTGGTGATCATTTTTCTTTCTGTTGCAGGTGTTACTGATGCCTTGGCGGAGCCCATCCCCAAACCACACCCAGCCTTTAGTCTCTTACCTGACGTTGTCCTTGGGGCCTACTGAGGGCACCCAAGAGAAAGCTTTCTGCCTGCCTCCCACCCTGCCTTCCCTGAAATACAGCCCTTCTCTTCGTCTGCCATCTGCTTGTGTTTGGGATCCAAGTCCACACGGGACTTGGGGGGTGGGGTGGCATCAGGGAGGTCGGGCCTGGGTCAGCCCATGCTTGGGACAATGCTGTGATGGGGACATGACCAGAGGTTCTAACGTGGACGTACACGTGCACAGAGACACGTACCCACAGAAGGGCAGGTGTATAGAAACTGTTAACCACCAAGGGCCTGCCAGCTGATAGTTCAATAATGACATACTTCCCACACTTTTTGGTAAATACCGCATTCCCTGAGTGCCCCCTAGCTGCCTTGGCACCCATGGGACCAACAGAAATTTTCATTAAAAGGCTACCTCGGGTCACAGCAGGTATCCTTCCAGGACCTGCCCCAGCCTAAGACCAAACCCTCTGTCACTGAGTCAATTCCAACTCATAGCAACACCCACTGGCTATTAATCCAAGGCTGTAAATCTTTATGGAAGTAGATTGCATCATCTTCCTCCTGAGGAGCAGTTTGTGGGTTTGAACTGCTAACCTTCTGGTTAGCAGCCAAATGCCTTACCCACTACACCACTCCTTAGACTAAGACACTCTCACCCCCAACACAACGAAAAATTCACTGCCACTGAGTTGATTCCAACTCATAGCGATCCCCATTGGGTTTCTGAGGCTGTAAACCTTCATGGAAGTAGATCTGCCCATCTTCCTTCCATGGAGTGACTGGTGGGTTTGAACTGCTGACCTTCTGGTTAGCAAGCAAATGCTTTATCTGCTATGCTACCAGAGCTCCTAGACTAAGGCCAGGGCCTGCTGAATGACCTAGTGGGAACTCAACCACCAGCCAATGGCTGCCAAGCTGATTCCGACTCACGGTGACCCTGTGTGTTGCAGAGCAGAACTCCATTGGGTCTTCACGGTTGTGGCCTTTGGGGAAGCAGATCACCAGACCAAGGCACCTCTCAGGGATGCCCACCCAGGCCTGTGGCATTGTTAAAACCTTCCATTCCCTTCCTCCCCAACACATGAACCTTAATTCAAATGAGTATATTTCTGTTCAGGCCACAGTTGTCCCCATATTATCCCCATCACCACACTTGGGATGAGAGCCCTTGATTGGTATCTGGGTTTAGGGCTGCTGGGGAAGCTGAAGAAGGGAAATGAAGGGTTCTGGGTAGCAGAGAGGTATGGGGACAGCCCTGGAGGTATGGGACAATTTGGGATTGAAGGGGAAGGAGATTCTGAGAGTTAAGAAATAGGGAATGTTAAGCAATCTCCTTCAATAGTGATACCACCTCAGAAACCCATGGAGGGGTTGCTATGAGTCAGATCTGACTCAATGGCAGTAAGTTTGGCTTGGTTTGGTAAGATGCTACGAAGCCATGAATTGGGCATGTGTAAAGAGGTCAGAGGTCAAAGGAGGTGGGAAAGGGACTGTGAGAGGTGCTTGAGGACCAGGATTCAGGATGAGCTAATGGGATGTGAACCAGTGACGTTGTAGGAGTGAGAGCAGAGAGTGCCACGGCAGCCTTGGGCACACGCATTCACTCATTCATTCAACACAAATTTATTGAGCACCTACTATCTCTCAAGCACCAAATTAGGAAGACGTGGCCCCTGCCCTCGTGGAGACTGGAGAATGTAGGGACGTGCCAAAGAGTCAGACCTTCAAGATTTACAAAGATGTCAAATGAGAAGCCCAAGGCCCAGGCAGAAATCAAGGAGATGCTGAGGGGTTATGAAGCTGTTGAGGAAACAGGGAGGGCCTGAGGGGTCAAGGAGGAGCTAAGGGATCAGGGAGGGGCAAAAGGATCAGGGGAATGCTAAGGGGTCAGGGAGGGGCTGGGGTCAGGGAGGGGCTAAGGGGTCAGCTAAGGGGTCAGGGAGGGGCAAAAGGATCAGGGAAATGCTATGGGGTCAGGGAGGGGCTGGGGTCAGGGAGGGGATCAAGGGAGGGTGTATGCGACAGGAGTCAGAAGAGGCAAGAGTCCACAGTCACTCCTTCAGCTGCACAGACACGGAGGAGTCAGTCACCCTTGTCCTCCGCAGCCCACCAGCCTCCATCCGGTTCTTGGTTTTGTGCATGAAATGGACGAAGCGCACGCCAGGGCCATACTGACGGAACACGTGGGACACCTGGGGCAGCCCAGGGTCAGGAAGAGGTCAGGGAACCATGGGTCCCACTCCCTCCCTCCTCCCTCTGTGAACTTGAGGCTGGGGGTCTCACCTGGACCCAGCGGCCGGGGGGACCTCTCCCAGAGGCCCGGGGGGCTGCGTGGTGCTGCGCGATGACCGTGTGGCGGTCAGCAGCCAGCAGCCAGACGTGCAGCTCATAGACACACGAGTCCAGGCAACTGTCCTCATACCTGGGGGTGGGGCCCAGGTCCTCAGCTGCCATATTGCAGCCGCAATGTCCCAGCCCCAAGCCCTGACCCAATTAGCCATTCCATACATATTCATGGCACCCTGGGCTGGCAACAAGATAGCCTCACGGCCTGCCCTCATGAGCTCATGGTCCAGTGGAGGAGGAAGACATGTCACCAAGGAGGGACAGCAAGGCTGGGATGGGGCAGACACAGGCGAGGAGATGGGGCTGGGCTGGTGGCACAGGGGAAGGGTCTGAGCGAGATGTAGGCGGTGGGATTGGGGCCAGGGGAGGGGTGCAGAGGGAGGGATCAGGGCCAGATGGGGGAGGCGCAATCAGAGGGGTCCACCTGGGATGGGGGAGGCACAAACACTAGAGCAAGGCCTGGGACCCAGCTGCTAGTCGGGGGGCGAGTGATCAGGGAAGGCATCTGGAGGAGGCGTCAGGAAGAGCTAGCCTTAAGAACAGACAGGGACAGGCATCCAAGGAAGCGGGAACAGCCCTGGCAAAGTCCCAAACCCATAAGGGGCCTACACATTTCAAGAACCAAAAGGCTCCTAGAGCAGGGCCAGAGAAGTGGACAGGGCCAGATCCTTCAGGACCAGGAGGGTCTTGGTGAGGAGCTCAGAGAGGAGTGGAGGCGGGCAAGGCCATCAGGGAGCCCTGCAGGTAGCCTACCAGTCCATGACGGTGATGTCTGGCTGCTCGTCATCCAGTAGCTCCTCCCACAGGCCCTCAGCCAGGAGGTCCACACACTGTTGCTTCACTGTCCAGCTGTGAAGAGAGGGGGCAGTGCGGTGGGGCACTGGGACCCAGCCCAGGGAGCAGGCAACCCCCACAGTGGTAGCATTAATGGCACCACATATGGGGTGCTAGGCACTCTGGTGGCATAGTGCCTAAGGCATCTATCTGACTGCTAATCAGAAGGCTGGCGGTTCAAACCCACCAGCCACTCCTCAGGAAGGAAGGTTGGGCAATCTACTTCCGTAGTGATACCTCCTCAGAAACCCAAGGAGTCACTATGAGCCAGATCGACTCCACAGCAGTGAGCTTTAGTTTTAATGGTGTGCTGATGGCTCCCCGGGCACTTTCCACTTTCCCTTCCCAGGGGGCCCTCTGAGGATGGATTCTGAACCTCATGCTGCAGGTGAGGAAACCGAGGCTCAAGGTGGGAGTGGCTTGCCCAAGGTCAAGCAGCAAAGAAGTGGTGGAGTAGGGATCTAACCCTGGGTGTGCGTGCTGTAAGCCACCCAGTCACACCACCTGGGCCACTGTGCAAAGTGGGATCTGTTTAATGACCACCTGGGGTGACTCCTTCTCTCCCAGGTGAAAGGAAGGAAAGTCAAAATAGTAACAAACAAACAAACAAAAAAACCAAACTCACTGCTATCGAGTTGGTCCCGAGTCATAGCGACCCCTCCTTGGATTTCCCAGCCGGTATCTCTACAGAAGTAGATTGCCCAACCTTCCTTCCGAGGAGTGGCTGGTGGGTTTGAACCTCCAGCCTTCTGGTTAGCAGTCAAGTGCCTTGGGCACTCTGCCACCAGAGCTCCTATAATAACCAATAGGTGCCATTCATCGACCACCTACTATGTGCTACAACCCCATGTGTGTCAAGAGTCCAACTCTGCTCCACAGAACTTTCAGTGACAGATTTTTCCAAAGCAGGTCACCGGGCTTTCTTCTGAGACACCTCTGAACCCACTGCTGTTGAGTGGATCCCGCCTCACAGCGCCCCTAGAGGACAGAATGGAACTGCCTCCAGAGGGTTTCCAAGGCTGTCAGTCTTCAGGGAAGCAAAGCCCAAACCAAACCCACTGCCTTGGGGTCGATTCTGACTCACAGCGCCCCTAGAGGACAGAATGGAACTGCCTCCAGAGGGTTTCCAAGGCTGTCAGTCTTCAGGGAAGCAAAGCCCAAACCAAACCCACTGCCTTGGGGTCGATTCTGACTCACAGCGCCCCTAGAGGACACAGGAGAACTGCCCCTCAGGGTTTCCAAGGCTGTAGATCTTTACCAAAGCGGACTGCCTCATCTTTCTCCTGCTGAGCAGCTGGTGGATTCAAACCTCTGACCTTTTGTTTAGCAGCCAAATGCTTTAACCACTATGCTACCAGAGCTCCTTCCAGACATCCCTGGAGGGGGTGGGGTGGGGATTCAAACCTCCAAACTTTCCTTCAGCAGCTGAACTCATTAACCATTTGTACCAGCCCGGGAGCTGGCCCCTACACTGTGGCTTTATGAGCACTTCCTCCTTTGACTGACCCTGTTTACAGATCAGGAAACTCAGGGCCAAAGAGGCATATTCCGTTTCTACAGATCCCAGCAAAGACGGCTGGAGCCAGGATTCAAACCCAGGCCACACGGGCCCTGGTGACTCACCTGAGGTTTGACTGGAGCTTTTCCGTTCTAATAAACCACCCTCTGAAATTGCCTGGCAGATGGAGACGCAAGCGGTGAGAACATTCTAGGGGACGACCTCCCCCTCCCCAAAGCTGCGGCTCACAGGGCACTCACCGAGAGTCTCCAGGGGTTGCTGGGTGGGACCAGTAGCAGGTGCTGGCTCATAAATGTTGATGCCTGGAATACAGGGTGAGTAGTACCAGGCCTAGGAGCTCTGGTGGGTAGTGCCTAAGGCACTTGACTGCTAACCAGAAGGCCATTGGTTCAAACCCACCAGCCACTTCTCGGAAGGAAGGTTGGGCAATCTACTTCTGTAGAGATACCGGCTGGGAAACCCAAGGAGGGGTCGCTATATGAGGCAGGGCGACTCCACAGCACATAACAACAACAACAGTACCAGGCCTACAGAGCTCTGGTGGCATACTGGGTAAGGCATTTGACTGCTAACCCGGTCAGCGGTCCGAACCCACAATGGGGCAATCTACTTCCGGAAAGACTCAGAGCCTTGGAAACCCAGTGGGGTCACTATGGGTCGCTGGGTATCAAACTACTGGCAGTGAGTTTGGGTTTTTGTTTTGTTTTGTTTTTTTCATTATCAGGCCTGGCTGGGGTTCCCATCACTCCGTACACATATGAACACACACTCACACACTCATTCACTATTTCCCACCCCTTTGGCTTCGCCGCAGGTCAGGAATTTGTGCCCCGCCCGCTGGGCCAGACCAGCCTGGCAGAGATCAGTGAATTGCCATCCACCCCCCCACCCACACACACACACTGCTGAGAGCACCCTGAGAATGGTGAGGGGCAGAGGAGGAACTGAGAGATAGGGGTGAGGAAGGGAGTTCTTAAAGACAGAGGGACAACGAGGCCCCAAGAGAAAGAGACAGAAACCCAGGCACCTAGAGAAACTGAGCGGACGACAGAGGAAGGTGTTGAGAAAGAGGGTCTGCGGGGAGAGAGACAACGACAGGAAGGGAGCTGGGGTGATGGAGAGAGACGGGAGACCGGCAGGACGGGACCGAGCCTGGAAGCCTGGAGGCGGAAAGATGAAGAGCCAGACGGTCCGGGTGGGTCGCGGACGGGCCGGCCCGCACCTTCGGGGTTGGGCGAGCGCAGCAGGTTGCGGTAGAGCGGCCGGCGCAGCAAGATCAGCCTCCAGCTGAGGCGCGCGGGCACCTGCAGGCTCCCGCCCGGCGGCCCCCACTCCTCCAGCAGCAGCTGGCGCGCGTACGCCTCGGACGGCTGCGCGGGCTCGGGGAGCGCGGGGGACTCCGGGGCCGCGGGCGACGGCGGCGAGGGCGGCGACGGCGGCGAGGGTGGCGTCTCCGGGCGGCCGTCGTCGGCCTCCAGGCCGCTGCCGAGCGCGTGTCCCTGCGGCACCTCCGCCATCCCTTGGATCTGGGCGACTGTCCCCCGCTCCGCAGGTCTTGGGGTTAACTGGGGGCAGGAGGAGGCGGGGCTCCCAGGGCAGGCGTTTAAAAGAGGGGCGTGTTGGGGGAACGTTCCGGCCCCCAGCTGCTCCTCCCTCAGACCCAGGAGTCCGGGCTCCAGCCCCTCCTCACGTTCCCAGGCTTCCTGTCCCAATTTCCCAAGGGCCGGCTGAGGACCCAGGTGTTGGCCCTGGGAGGGAGGTGTGACCGAAGAACTAATGTCAGGGCTCCGGGTTCTCTAATGAGGCCTGTCCACCTCGTTAAGATCCGGCAGGACGGGATTAAGAGGTTAATTAATGAAGACCCCCTCGCACCCCCTCCAGGCTCTCAGCAGGGAGGGGTGGGGGGGATGGGAAAGGGAGGCCCAGCGTCTGCCACTTCTCCCCCCTGCCCTCATCTGGGACACACCTTTGGGGCCCTGACACTCTTGTCCTGGAAACCAAGGCGGGGGATGGAGAACCGAGAGAGACCGCAGTGAGAGTGGGGGTGGGGGCTCACAGAGTGGAGGACCCCAGGGAAAGCGAGACACCCAGGTTTTCAGGGTGCTGGCCCCCTCTTCCAGCAGCTCTCGTGGCGTAGTGCCTAGAGCATTGAACTGCTAACCGAAAGGCTGGTGGTTCAAACCCACCAGCCACTCCTGGAAGGCAGGTTGGGCGATCCACTTCCGCAGAGATACCGCCGTGGAAACACAAAGGGGGTCGCTATGAGCCGGAACCAACTTGACCACAGTGAGTTTGGTTTGGTTTGGTTTGGATTGGTTCGGCCCGCCTTCCTGGAACTGGCTGCGAAGCCTCCTCCCTCAGAGGTCATGACGAGTTCAGAGTGAGAGATGGGGTGATGGTGGGGTGGGAGGTTGGGCTGCGGAGGAACCTGTAGGGCCAGATGCCCACAGCCAGCTCCCACCCATGGCCACATCCCACACCCAGTTCAGGCAGGTACGGCAGAGAGCCCCGGGGATTGCCAACAGGGACCACCACAGAGTGCTGTTTGCCGCCAGATCTGTTTGAAGCACTTCTAAGTTAATTAATTTCATCCTTCTGAAAATGACGAGGAAGTAGGTGCCACTCTTACTGTCGTTTTATAGATAAAGGAAAGAGAACAGCAAAACTATGTTGAACTGTGCGCTGCCCCTACACTCTAGTCCCCATGTCACCCACGCGACAACCCCACGAAGGGGGCTTTGTTACCCCATTTTACAGGGGAAGAAACAGAGGTCACCTTCCTAGATAACCCCGCGGGCTTCCACGGACTCTCCCTGCCCCACATTCCCGAGACACGCGCTCGGAGAGCCGTGCTCTGAACACTCAGGAGTCTAACCCACACTGAGGTAGATGATACCTGAGCCGTTGTGCTAGGACGGATGGAATGCGAGCCAGGCATTGCTCATCGGAATTCCTTGGGCGGATAATTAATGTGATCACATCCACCCTAGGAAGCAGACATGCTTATTTTGCAGATGAGGAAACTGAGGCACAGAGAGGTTTAGTAATTCACCCAAGATTGCACAGCTGGTACCTGGCAAGTTGGTCACATCCACGCACAGTCTTAAATCAGATACACAGGAACACAGATGTAAATCACCCCCAGGGAGAAATACAGAAACACACAGGGGATAATGGTCACATTTATTGTCCGCCATGATAACTCACGGACCTTCACTGCAACCCGGCCAGGTGGGATCTGGTCACAGCAACCCTTTACAGGTGAGAGAAATATAGAAACATACAGGGGATAATGGTCACATTTATTGTCCGCCATGATAACTCACGGACCTTCACTGCAACCCGGCCAGGTGGGATCTGGTCACAGCAACCCTTTACAGGTGAGAAAGCTGAGGCCAGAGAGGGGAAGTGGGACCCTGGGGGGTGGGAGGGGGGACTCCATGGGAGTCGACGGACCAAGTCATGTTCAGCAGACACTAGTGGCACCACACCCGGAATTCCCCGGGAGATTTCCCAAACACTCCCAAGGCCTTTGACACACATACAACCGGAGACACAGCTCCGGCCACCAGAAGCACGCAAACCCACAGCCTTGTCCCCACCACCCACCCAGCCCGCCTGAGCCCAGGAGGAGGAAGGGGCGGAGCCTGGAGGAGGCGTGTCTGGGGAGTGGACCAAGGCTGTTCCCGGGTCAGAATCCAGGGCAGGGCGAGGCCTGGAGCCTGAGGAGCGTCAGCAGGAGGAGAAGCGAGGACGCTGGGGGAATGGGGATCACACCCACCCTGCCTGCCCCCCAACCCCCAGCCTGGCCAGCTTTTCTTTTTTTTAAGAGGCAATTTTAAAAAAATTATCAAGAAATGAGAAAGAAAATCTCTCATTTTTCAACATGAACGATAATCCTAAAATGTGCTCCAAATTCCTTACGTACTGACTTGGCCACACCTAGAGTTCCTCCCATCCTTTTTAACATTTCTTCCCATTTTTCTGTATAAATTTCCTTCTAAAATGCTGGTGAAAATATGCACGCTCAAACATTCCCCAACACAATGTCCACCGTTTCAGCCAATGACATTGATGACATATTTCCCCTTGTACCACCATTTGCACTATCATTTTCCAAAATCTTCCACCACCGTTGATACCAACCCCCAAACCAAAAACCAAACCCACTACCATTAGAGTCGATTCTGACTCATAGCGACCCCCCTTGGGTTTCCAAGGAGGTAAATCTTTAGAGAAGTAGATTGCCCACCCTTCCTTCCGCAGAGTGGCTGGTGGGTTTGAACCTCCAACCTTCTAGTTAGCAGTCAGATGCCTTAGTCACTGCACCACCAGAGCTCCTCAATATAAACTCAGTGCCCCCCCACAAACAAAACCTCCCGCTTATCCCCTCACTCCCACTGCTGCTAACCATTAATAATCTTTGGTTTCTATATTATTTGCTTATTTCATATAAGTGAGAGCATACAGTATTTGTCCTTTTGTGACGTTTCCAAGGCTTATCTGTTGTGGCTGAACAGAGTTTCCACAGCATCTGGGGTCCTCATCCCCTTCTATTCCTGCTTCTTCCCCCCCCACTTATGTGTGGCAGCCAGATAGGTCTTACAAAAGCCCAAACTCAGCCAGTCACTCTCCCACTCCAATCCTCCATGGCTCCCCAGTGCCCTCAGGGAAAAAAGTCCCAGGTCTTTTGCTGGCCTTTTAGATCCTGGATTTCTGATCTTTGGTCTCCCACATCAGGGCGTTTGTTCCTTCTCTCCACCTGGAATGTCCTTCCTTCTCACCCAGAGCCCCACCCTGAATGGTTCCCCAATGGTTGGGTGTATCAGATTCCAAGTCCTACCCCAGGGTTCTGGCTCAATCCCTCTGGGATGGGCCCAGAATCTCCAGTTGGAGAAGCCTTCCCTTCCCCTCCCGGGGGATGCTGGGGATTTCCTTTCACGGAAATCTGGCCATTGGAGATACCTCCATGGTCCTGGAAAGCCAAGTGGATTCCAGTGTCAAATATGAAACTCCTCCCGTCTCCTCCTTGTGTTGCTGTTACTGTTTGTTGCCAGGAGTCAGCCCCTGACTCTGGCAACCTTCAGCACGTGGCACGAAGCACTGCCAGGCCCGGGCTATCCCCACGATCCGCTGCAGATCAGACCACTGTGAGTCATAGGTTTCTCACTGGCTGAATTTCAAACGTATATTGCCAGGCCTTTCCTCCTCTTGTGTCTTCGTCTAGAAGCTCAGCTGATAGCTGTTTGGCATCAAAGCACCAT